GCTTAGCTTGTTCTAAGTAGGTGCTTTAGACCACTGAGCCATCTCACCAGCCCAAGAATTTACTCTTAGAGAAACTAATAAGGCTACTATTGTATAGTACGGGGGAAGAATCAATCACTGACACTGGGCAGTGGTGTCCTTGAGGTGCTAACTCCCTGGAACTTAAAAGGAGGCAAAGCACCTCTGCCTGGCTAGGTTGCACTGAACCCTGAAGCTGCCTCCAGGAGCTTCATGGCTCATTGCAGGGTTCTGCGGTTCTCTAATTAGGAAAACCAACTGCTTTCCAATCTCATCCTTGAACAGTGTTTTCATTACATTTAAAATAGCTCCAAGCTGGGTGTGGTGATGCAGCCTGCAACTGAAGCACTCAGGAGGCCGAGCAGGAGGATCGCTGCAAGTTTGAGATCAGCCTCGGCTACAGAACGAGCTCATGGCCAGCCTGAGCTGCACTACAAGAGTCGGTTTCACGCACGCACGCACGCACGCACGCACTCACTAATGAAAGAGTGCCTACATTCATGACAAAGTAGATTTGAAACAAGGACTGATACCATGATTAATGAAGGCACTACATGATAATTAAGGGGCTGCTTCATCCAGATCAGTAATCATACAGTTCCGCAAGAGGAGAAAGTAAAGACTATTGAGAGGTGCTCATTTCAGGTATGGGTGAGGGTGTACAAAGAAAACTCGGACCAGGGAGCCCAGTCAAAACTCCGAGTGACTAATGAATGTACTGAAAATACAAGACTGAGTCCCACTCAAAGACCTCAGGAGCCAGCAGAAAGGATCCCACTGGCCAGCTTTGGGGGACATTTTCACAGGTTGAGCATCAATAATAATGAGCCTTAATTGACCAAAACATTCTGAACAAACCTCTAAGTCCATAATTATGCTAAATAAAGATAAAACACCTGAGCACTGGAGTATCTGGCTATGATGCCAGCTATAAGCTACCGGGGAGGCTGGGGCAGGATCACAAGTTGGAAGCCAACCTGGGCAACACAGTGATACTCTATCTCAAAGAACGGGGGCGCAAGCTGTAGCCCAGTGAGAGACGGTGGGTTCAATCCCCAGAAAAACAAAATGCAAAGAACCTACACCACCATCCACCTCCAGAACTTTTCTATCTTGCAAAACTTTAGTTTTGTCCTCATTACTTCGCCCTTCCCTCGCCCTGACAATCACCTTTCCTCCTCTGGCTCGGGGAATTTTACTGCTCCGTGCCCCTGGTGTACGTGGAAATACACCGGGTTTGGTTGTTTGTTTTTTTTTTTTTTGTAGTGCTAGGTTTGCGCCTAGGGCCGCATGCGCACTAGGCAAGTGCTCTCGGCCGCGGTCCGGCTCCGCCGACTTCTAGGCGGGCCCTCGCCCTCCAGGAAGCTCCCCGGCTTCCCGCGC